TTGACAATGAGCTGAAGTTCTCGGGCCATTGCGAGACGAAGGTAAATCAGGCAAATAATTTATTAGGTCTTATAAGAAGGTCGTTCAGATATCTAGACGGTCCGTCCCTCGTAACGATCAACAAAAGTGAAGTGCTTCCCCATCTGGGGTACCGTCACCCAGTTTGGTCCCCGAGCTATGCTAGGGACTGTCAGGAACGGTCATCTCTCCTTTCCCTCAATATTTATTTCAGTTACCCATTGTATTTAGTTTCTGTTGTTTCCCGTTTTTCTTTAGAATCAAAATTCCAAGCTTATGGTAAAGACTTTATAAAATGTCTTGATTATTTTTTATAAGTATGTATACTAATATTTGTTCCATTATGTAAACTTTGTAGAATGTATTCTTATTTTTTATAAAGTTATGAAAGACTGTAAGCAGCTGGTGTGAAGAGTAAAAATAATTAGAAATTATATGTTGATGAAACAAGAAAGTATTGGAACATTGTTTTGGTTTTGGTGGCACTGTCGGTAGCTAGGTTGAGGAGAATAGGAGGGTCAAGCTTGTGTGGTGCACATTTATCTATTATTATCTGGGCAATCATGGATAATTATGGTGTTAACTAAAGTGTAATATGTTCATATAGTCTAAAGCAGTGGTTCTCAACCTTGTTTGCCCCATGCACCCCTTTCACCATATGTCAGTATGTCATTCCCCCCTCCTTTCCAAGATTGTCTGCCTCAAAAAGTGCATTCCAAATAATATGCATATAATACTGAAAATCCTTTATTTTTTCCATATTAGTACATATAAATTTACAATGTTACATGGATTATTTATATAGTGGAGTTTTACAAAATAAATGACAATTGAAAATGTTGATGGATTTATAAAACTAGAATCAAAGTAAAATAGTTTTTTTTTTTATTTATAATGAATTACTTAACAGACCAAACTGAAGCATAATGCAATAAACAAAAAGTTCAATAGAATACCATGATATTGTAAATTTGTAATTAATTTTATTCAGATGAAGATTACAGTCAATGAGAAACCTGTGATTGTTTTTGCTTCGCCAATTCTGGGATACGCGGAGGATTGCTTGAAAGGGCACAACGCAGGTCATTTTCTACCTCTAATCTACTACGTTGCTTCGTTTTAATTTGCAACAGAGTTGAAAAGCCTGACTCACAAAGATATGTTGACACAAACGAAAGCAATGCACGGATAGCTCCTTCTGCCACTTTTGGGTAGGAATCGCACATCAAGGGCCAAAATTCTGCGATTGATTTCTCATCGAACATATCTCTTGCTCCCGAATCAGTTTCCCTCCCCCCCCCTGAAAACCTGAATTCCCCCCCTGGTTGAGAACCACTGGTCTAAAGAGTATTGTAGTGTGAGAGAGCACTGCATTTAGTGGAGATAACATTATTCTGAGTGAAGTGATTTGTGGCCTTTTGTATGCACATGGATGGAGAGCACATATTTATTCTATTTTGTTGTTCAATATATTTTGTTGTAATTTTAAAGTTGTGTTTTGATTAAACCAGTTTTAATGGGAACAGTGTTATTGAAATAAACACCTGTCAGCTGTCAGGAGGTTGTTACCCAGAAATAAAGGTAAGGGTCTGTGTTTAACATTTAACCCCTCTGTTAACAGAAGCTGTTATTTCAGAGATTCCTCTGATATATTGGGCCTATTGGCTGAATATACATCCTCTAGTGAGTCCTAGAAGAGGGTGTGAAGGTTGTAACAGTGTACCGCAGTGTTGTGTGTTAGTGTACCACAGTGCTGTGTGTTAGTGTACCACAGTGTTGTGTGTTAGTGTACTACAGTGTTGTGTGTTAGTGTACCACAGTGCTGTGTGTTAGTGTACTACAGTGTTGTGTGTTAGTGTACTACAGTGTTGTGTGTTAGTGTACCACAGTGCTGTGTGTTACTACAGTGTTGTGTGTTAGTGTACTACAGTGTTGTGTGTTAGTGTACTACAGTGTTGTGTGTTAGTGTACCACAGTGTTGTGTGTTAGTGTACTACAGTGTTGTGTGTTAGTGTACTACAGTGTTGTGTGTTAGTGTACTACAGTGTTGTGTGTTAGTTGTTGTGTGTTAGTGTACTACAGTGTTGTGTGTTAGTGTACCACAGTGTTGTGTGTTACTACAGTGTTGCTACAGTGTTGTGTGTTAGTGTACTACAGTGTTGTGTGTTAGTGTACTACAGTGTTGTGTGTTAGTGTACTACAGTGTTGTGTGTTAGTGTACCACAGTGTTGTGTGTTAGTGTACTACAGTGTTGTGTGTTAGTGTACCACAGTGTTGTGTGTTAGTGTGCTACAGTGCTGTGTGTTACTGTACCACAGTGTTGTGTGTTAGTGTACTACAGTGTTGTGTGTTAGTGTACCACAGTGTTGTGTGTTAGTGTACTACAGTGCTGTGTGTTAGTGTACTGTAGTGTTGTGTGTTAGTGTACTGCAGTGTTGTGTGTTAGTGTACTACAGTGTTGTGTGATAGTTGACCACAGTGTTGTGTGTTAGTGTACAACAGTGCTGTGTTTTACTGTACCACAGTGTTGTGTGTTACTGTACTACAGAGCTCTGTGTTACTGTACCAAAGTGTTGTGTGTTGCTGTACCACAGTGTTGTGTGTTACTGTACTACAGTGTTGTGTGTTACTGTACTACAGTGTTGTGTGTTAGTGTACTGCAGTGTTGTGTGTTAGTGTACCACAGTGTTGTGTGTTACTGTACCACAGTGTTGTGTGTTACTGTACTACAGTGTTGTGTGTTACTGTACTACAGTGTTGTGTGTTAGTGTACTACAGTGCTGTGTGTTAGTGTACCACAGTGCTGTGTGTTAGTGTACCACAGTGCTGTGTGTTAGTGTACCACAGTGTTGTGTGTTACTGTACTACAGTGCTGTGTGTTAGTGTACTACAGTGCTGTGTGTTAGTGTACCACAGTGCTGTGTGTTAGTGTACCACAGTGCTGTGTGTTAGTGTACAACAGTGCTGTGTGTTACTGTACTACAGTGTTGTGTGTTACTGTACCACAGTGTTGTGTGTCAGTGTACTACAGTGCTGTGTGTTACTGTACCACAGTGTTGTGTGTTAGTGCACCACAGTTTTGCCTGTTAGTGTACTACAGTGTTGTGTGTTAGTGTACCACAGTATTATGTGTTAGTGAACTACAGTGTTGTGTGTTAGTGTACTACAGTGTTGTCTGTTAGTGTACTACAGTGTTGTGTGTTAGTGTACCACAGTGTTGTGTGTTGGTGTACTGCAGTGTTGTGTGTTGGTGGCACTACGGTGTTGTGTGTTAGTGTACCACAGTGTTGTGTGTTAGTGTACCACAGTGTTGTGTGTTAGTGTACCACAGTGTTGTGTGTTGAGAGTGTACTACAGTGTTGTGTGTCCAGAGTGTACTACAGTGTTGTGCGTTGAGGTGTACTACAGTGTTGTGGTGAGTGGACTACAGTGTTGTGTGTTAAGTGTGCCACAAGTGTTGTGTGTTAGTGTACCACAGTGTTGTGTGTTAGAGTACTACAGTGTTGCGTGTTAGTGTACTACAGTGTTGTGCTTATTAGTGTACTACAGTGTTGTGTCAGTGTACTACAGTGTTGTATTAGTGTACCAGTGTTGTGTGTTAGTGTACTACAGTGTTGTGTGTCAGTGTACCACAGTGTTTGTGTATTAGTGTACCAGTGTTGTGTGTTGAGCCTTATTACAGTGCTGTGTGTTAGTGTACCACAGTGTTGTGTATTAGTGTACTACAGTGTTGTGTATTGAGTGTACTACAGTGTTGTGTGTTAGTGTACCACAGTGTTGTGTGTTAGTGTACCACAATTGTTGTGTGTTAGTGCAACACAGTGTTGTTTGTTAATTGTACTGCAGTGTTGTGTGTTAGTATGCCACAGTGTTGTGTGATAGTGTACCAGTGTTGTGTTATGCTGCCTACCTGTTGTGTGTTAGTGCAACACAGTGTTGTGTGTTAGTGTACCACAGTGTTGTGTGTTAGTGCACCACAGTGTTGTGTTAGTGCAACACAGTGTTGTGTGTTAGTGTACCACAGTGTTGTGTGTTAGTGCAACACAGTGTTGTTTGTTAGTGTACTACAGTGTTGTGTGTTAGTGTACTACAGTGTTGTGTGTTAGTGTACCACAGTGTTGTTTGTTAGTGTACTATAGTGTTGTGTGTTAGTGCAACACAGTGTTGTGTGTTAGTGTACTGCAGTGTTGTGTGTTAGTGTACCACAGTGTTGTGTGTTAGTGTACCATAGTGTTGTGTGTTAGTGTACTACAGTGTTGTGTGTTAGTGTACCATAGTGTTGTGTGTTAGTGTACTACAGTGTTTAAAGAGTATTACAATATACCCTGTATGGTTCTTAAATTAGTATCGAGAACAACTCCAACTACGGTGTACTGTATGAATTGAATGCAGCCCCTTTTAATTACGGAATAGTTCATGATTGAAGTTGAGAAACTTAAAATGTATAACCGTATTTACAAACGCTTACTACTAATAACAAAGAAATATAGCTAGTTACTGCTATACGCTTTGTTGTTGTTCTAGGCTGGACGCTTTAGTCTGATAGACAATGATTATATTTTAATTTGTCTTCTAAAACTAGAAGGACATAAGCAAACAAAGAGTAAACGCACTCATTATGTTGAGTGTCTCTCACGTATCATAACCATAGTTGTGTGTCATACAGCATTTACTTTGCTCTTAAGAATATGAAGATTTTGTTATGAACAAAAGTTATATCACAAACACAATTTGTTTTGAAGCTCCATAACATGTACCATTCCTCTGGGTCTGGCAGCTTCATTAATTTACATCATGCACACATACAGGGTTGGATACATGTGGGTAAGTTTCAGATGTTGACATTATAGCACATTTTTCAACCTTCGAGACACAATCTCAGATAGTTCTATGAATCTCATTTACTTGATTGTGTACAGTTTTGTGTAATGTTAAGTTATAAAGCCTATTGTTTCCTAATATGGATTGAATAAATACGTGAATTTACTGTCAGTGAACAAAGGTTTATTTCTTAAATATATTATGTTCTGGTCCGAAGGGGAAGCCGGTGATGTCATCTACGGTACCGTCATCGTTAATGACAAGTATGTCATGTTCCCGGTAGCCGCCGGCGCCTGGCTCGCCCTCGGGGATGGTCACCATGGGCTCCATAGACACAACCATGCCAGGCTCCAGTACTGTGTCTATATCCTCACGTAGCTCCAGATCTGTCAACATATAACTGTTGTTATTTCCCGCCACCAAATGTTAGCCGAGTGAAGAAACTCGTACTAAATTGAAGTGTTCCTTCCATTACTCAGTCAAATAACATCTGATTTGTTTCATATTTGGTGACCATCAACAGGAGGATCATGATAGGTTTATACCCAATATCATCACCTCAAACTAAACATGTTCATAATTTATTATCTGCATTTCAGTGAATTTTGACACGAAATACAGTACACCTGTTGTCCGCCACACATAGTCCATAGGCACATAAGGTGTACCTCCTCTCGCCTGTCACGTACAGGATACTTACACTTGAAACTAACCAAGGCCGTTTTGGCTGCCCACATACAATAAACCTCCTCTTGTCCACCACACACTCAACAAGGTCACATTCAATAGTACCCAACAGGGTCACAATCAATAGTACTCAACAGGGTCACACTCAATAGAATTTAACAAGCTTACAATGGACTCCCTCAAATGTGTTCAACAGGACATACAGAACACTACTCAGCAGGGCACATTCAAAGGTACTCAACCAGACATACTCAAAAGTAAAGTACTCGACAAGATTCACTCAATAGTACTCAACAGAACACTCAACAATGCTCAACAGGACACACCACAATACTGAACAGGACATTCAACAGTACTGAACACGACACTCAACAGTACTGAACACGACACTCAACAGTACTGAACACGACACTCAACAGTACTGAACACGACACTCAACAGTACTGAACACGACACTCAACAGTACTGAACACGACACTCAACAGTACTGAACACGACACTCAACAGTACTGAACACGACACTCAACAGTACTGAACACGACACTCAACAGTACTGAACACGACACTCAACAGTACTGAACACGACACTCAACAGTACTGAACACGACACTCAACAGTACTGAACACGACACTCAACAGTACTGAACACGACACACTCAACAGTACTCAACAGGACACACTCAACAGTACTCAACAGGGTACACACAACAGTACTCAACAGGGTACACACAACAGTACTCAACAGGGTACACACAACAGTACTCAACAGGACACACACAACAGTACTCAACTGGGTACACAACAGTACTCAACAGGGTACACACAACAGTACTCAACAGGGCACACACAACAGTACTCAAGAAGGCGCAAACAGTACTCAACAAGGTGCACACAACAGTACTCATCAGGGCACACACAACAGTACTCAACAGGGCACACACAACAGTACTCAACAGGGCACACACAACAGTACTCAACAGGGCACACACAACAGTACTCAACAGGACACACACAACAGTACTCAACAGGGCACACACAACAGTACTCAACAGGTCACACACAGCTGTACTCAACAGGGCACACAACTGTACTCAACAGGGTACACACAACTGTACTCTACAGGGCACACACAACAGTACTCAACAGGGCACACACAACAGTACTCAACAGGGCACACACAACAGTACTCAACAGGGCACACACAATAGTACTCAACAGGGCACACACAACAGTACTCAACAGGGCACACACAACAGTACTCAATAAGGCACACACAACAGTACTCAACAGGACACACACAACAGTAGTCAACAGGACACACACAACAGTAGTCAACAGGACACACTCAACAGTAGTCAATGGGACACACTCAACAGTAGTCAATGGGACACACTCAATAGTATTCAACAGTACTTGGTAATACTCAACAAGATACAGTTAACAGTACTCAACAGGACATACTCAATAGCATTTAATAGGACTCACTTAACAGTAATGTTGAAAATTGGGATATAGATCAATAATCTCAAAGGACTGTCAAATCAGTTTAAAATCAATTGTAGGAAAATTGCTGTGAACAATAATTTCAAACACAATTCGAAATCACTTGAAGAAACACAAGTTGATCAATGATTCCCATCATGGCTTCACAAGTGGGCGTTCATGTCTGACAATCTATTATCATTCTTTTCAAATATTTTCGAATCAGTGTATGCTGGACACGATTATGCTGTACTTTACCTCGACTTTAGCAAAGCCTTTGACAGGGTCCCCCACGAAAGATAATATGTGAAGTGGAGGCACATGGCTTTGATAGATATTCTAAATTGGATTAGGGCGTGGTTAAAGGACAGGAAACATAGTAAGTAAGCTTTAATGGCACCAAATCCAATTGGGTAACATAAATGACATCGTACTGTATAGACGAAGACAGCACCATAAGTAAATTTGCTGATGACACAAAAATAGAGCGGGTAATTAAATTTGACGAGGACTCGGTAAAACTACAGGAAGATCTGAAAAAATATTTTGCATGATCTGAAAAATGGCAGATGAAATTTAATGTGGAAAAGTGTAAAGTACTTAACC